CCCCCATGCCCTTTCTGGAAATGACTGTTAATAAAATTGAATTAAAACAGCCACCACAGAGATACCATTCAAGCTGACCCTCCTGGGTCAATGGTTTAGGGAAGCACATGGATTTTCATAGAGAAACACCCAAAGGAAAGGTTTGGGGCAATAAAAATTAAGTGTCCTCCTAACTAAAGACAAAGATTATGTCCCACTGACCATTTAAATCATACTTTCCAGATTAATTTGCCTGATCTGGGCCTGCAGTGAGAACATCCATAAAGGAAAGTTAATGAGGCTGGAAATCTCCATCAAAACAGATGCTGAAAAAATTCCTGATCCAGAAATGGAAACAAAGTTTCTGTAAGAGATGGCTCGCCATATAGGGCCTGAAGGCCTTGTGTAGCTGCGGCCCCATGAATACGACTGCCATCCCAGCAGCGCAGTCTGGGAGTGATTCACGGGGTGCCTTGGAGGGGAGGGGAATCTCTTGGCTATGAAGACAGAGGCTAAGGCAGCAGCCCAGTGTTGGAGGACCGGGTGGAGCCACCAGCCACCTCTCCCTTGGGCCACGGGTGACAGAGGAGTTTTCCAATGCAGGGAACACAGCGGGAGACTTCAAAGCAAGTCCCACTGACACCTGCTCTGCACTCAACACCTCCCAAGTAAGTCCCATCTCCAGAATCCATCTCGATGTATTTGTTTTCTCATCCAGAGATGGACCCAAAAGGGAAGCCGAGTACCCCCACTAAGCCTTTTAAAACACAACACTGTAAACCAAGCTTGAAACCATCCACACCATGGCTCGCCAGCAGCACGACCTCGAGTAATTGCTGACATTCTGTTTCCTTTAGAGTTTTCAGGACAGTCACCAAAGGACAGCATCGTGCCTGGCACATGCAATAATAAAAATATTACCACATGCTAATCATTGCTGAGCCTTGGCTCTGTGCCTCACACAGATGCGAGAAATGGTAGCACATTCCAGCCATTTGCGACCTCAGAGGCGCTCCGAGGCTCAGTCCATGCACAAGCAGTGGCAGAGGACACCTACAAAGCCCCTTACTTACATTTACCCATCCTGAGCCCACGTACTGCTCTCTGCCCTACAGTCCCCCAGGACTTCTGCCTGTGCTTCCAGAATGGAGATGGTTTGCTAACCTCAAGAAGTGTGTCACAGTGATCCAAAGCAAATTTGAACTCTGCCTGGGCAGAAGTCTTTGGCAAAGTACACCTGAGCCTCGGTTTTATCATTTGTAAATGATAAAACCTACCTGCGAGGATGAGGTAGATCGAGTTCTTAGTACACTGCCTACTCTTAGAGCCCAGTAAGTCCTAGGTCGGAGCATGTATAGAACCTTGTTTTGCTGGAGCCAATGAACTCCCTTCCGGTTCCACATAATTACAAAATTTGTCAAGCTGCAGGTGGAACTCAAAGGTGATCTCTAGTGCACGGGGTGGGAGTGGATCATGTTTGCTTGCTTGTGCGCACCCCATCTGCCTGATGTTTGCTGAACTCGGAGTCCACAAAGCTCTGAACTAGAGTCTATCAACAGTCTGTGAGCACAAGCAATTTTCTCTTCTGCAAAACTTGTGCCCTGATACTAATGACAACTACATTCTCTGCCAGAGCTAAAGTTTCTGTCCTTCTACCTCCAGGATTAGACAATTCTTAGACAGCAAAAGACTCAGCCTGGAGCGCTCCTTTGCCACAACCTGACCCAGGCCAAGCCACCTGTTTGCCCCACCATGCACGCCCAGAATCAAGAAGAAGTGGGGACGTTTGCCCACCAGTGCGCCATCCCAGGAGGCTGTATTCCTCTGCTTCACCCGCCCCAGGGACAGATGCCAGACAACAAGGGACCACGCCTGTAGCTCCAAGCCCACCACAGGTAGCCAAGCTAGCTGATCCTAAACGTTTTACCCTGCCCTGCCTTTCCCATGAAAACCCCAGTAAGGGCTCTGACCTAACCCTACCCCATGGCCCTGTCTCGCTCCTGACCACACAAATGCCTTTTCCAAGGGGCCCTCCACGGTATGCCCAGACCTCCTGTCTCTAGGAGCTGAAGGTACTCAACTTTGTTTTCCTGAGCCTCTCCTGGGTCTTCTCTCGGGTCTGCAAATGGAGTGTATTCTAATCACTTCCAGTCACAGGTAGCTTTAAAGCCAGTACCTGACAAAGCAAATTTGAATCCAGCACTAGCTTGACTTGACATTATTCCCTCTGATATGAGAGACATCAAAGGTTGTCTCAGATGCCCGAGGCCTGGTTAAATAGCCCCCAGGGTTCCTCACTGAAGGCCTGGCTCAAGTCTCGGTTCCTGCTAAACTCAGATAACCACGGTGAACCGTCTCTCCCTTCCTTCCTTGCCTCCAGGTCTGGGAAGCGTCCTTACAGGTTGTGATGAAAAGTATGGTATATGCTGCTGCAGCGTGCCATCCACATTACAGGGTCGTCATCTGCCTTACTCGCTGGGTCTGGCACAGTCTTACTATAGACAGCTGAGTTAGGTAGAAATACTATAGGCAGTCAGACAGGGATGTCACGGGAATTGATACAAAAGGTGAAAACACTTTACAACTGTGGCTGGAGGCGCATCTGTTGGAGGCCAGGCCTCAAGGTAAAGATGGAATGACCAGGCCTGCATACCTCCCCAAGGGATAAGCGATAAGACCTGGTCCAATAAAGTCTAGACAGACATCAGTCACCTCGGTAGGTGACTAAGATCTTCAGAGCCACCCCTTCCTGAAGAGTTTTGCTCTTTCCATGTATACCAGCTACGTGACTTGCTTTTCCATTGGATCAATATTTCCTATGCGGCTATACTTAGAATCTTCTTATAGCTTTAACCCACATTGTCCCCACCTTGAGATTTTGCTGTATAAAAGCTCATCTGTGAAGTGGGCTCACTGGCAACCAACTTGGGACCCCTCCTGCCTCTCAGGAGCTCTACGTCTCCCTCTCAATAAATATTTCCTACTCTTAACCTCTGTTGTTCCTTACGGTTTATTCTTCTATGTTGGGGAACATGAACTCGGTATATCTGACATCTAACAGGTTGGGAGTTAGAATATTTCCCCTATGTCATTTGGAGGCCCAATATCATTCCTGTAGCAGTATCACTTCTGGCTCTTCCCCACAGTCAAAATGACCATGAAAGGTAAACCTGTGAGTCAGTTCAGAACACGGAGACAGCCACAACAAGCTCAACTAAAGGCGATCAGAAACGAACTTGCAGCACTGCTTCAGAAAGTAGCAAGAACGATGGAATGGGTGTTTGAAGCTAGGGGCAGTAATGGCAACATGTCTTTCACTATCATAAATTTCTAACTTAAACATTCACTAGATTTTTAATCACAACTCTTATCTGATCCACAGTTTGCTGAACCAACATGTAAAAAACATAGGCACTTATATATAAAACAAATTCCAGACAAAACTGAAAAAATTTATTTAAAAATACCAGAGGATCTGGCAACAGCACTGCCTGGTAAGGGAGGGAAGGCAGAAGGAGTTGGAGCAGAGTGAAGTCGGAGGGGGAGATAGAAGGGGAGGCAACAGAGGCGCAGACAGTAAAAGCACAGGCAGCATCTCGGGAAGAGAAGACAGCAGTGGCGTCAACCCCAAAGATACCATGTATGGCGATGAATAAGATGCCCTCGAGTTGGTTAGAGCTTTACTAGCCAGGCATGCAGAAGACCAAGGAGGATTCAAAAGAGAGTAAGAATTAGCACTAGCGAGTAGGCTGAACATGCAGATTACCCTTCAAAACTAACGTCCACTTAAAGAAATCAAGTGACTGGAAAAGTTAGAATTCCACTGTAGTGAAGGGCAAGGAGCGTTTAGCAGCCAAGGAGGCAATGAATGTGCCCCAGAGGGAGCGCACAGTCAGGCAGCACCGCAGAGGAACGGGGCAGGCCGGGTCGGGCACCTCCCGGGCTGGACCAGCGTCCACCGTTTCCAGAGACGTGTGCAAGAGGCAGGCCGTGCCTTGGGAGCGTCACAAACTATCTGCTCTGATGAAACACATGCTTTTCTTATTTAGCAAAAAAAATAAACTATTGGAAAAATTTGCATTTTTGAATCATGTATACTGAAAACCCATTTCCTCTGCAACAATACAAAATCAGGGAAAGGGAAGTGTCATATTCCAAATATACATGAATCGATCAGGTTAGGTGTACCAGATGTGGAAACTCAAGGATTTTTTTAAAGTGAAAAATATTTCACTATTTTGAGGTGTGTAAGATTTCTTTTACTAAAAAAAGATACCGCTTTGCTGTTCTTACTTTCACTTTTGCAATATCTCTGTTATAAAACCACAAAGGACATGCACCATATAATGTACACATTTAACTATGTCAGAGATCTACGCATTCCTGTTAATAATAATCATTTCATGGACCTCAACAAGCTGAAGCAAATATAAAGCATTACTATTGCTACCTTGTCCTTTGTAATCACTTGTTTTTAATATAATAAAGGAATTCAGAATTCAGTGGAAAAAAAACTTTTTAGTAACTTGTAGACTAGTGGGAAAAATTAGCACATTGGTGTACTTTTTATCAGCTTAAATATATAAAAGTGACAGAGAAACATCAAGTTTAAGGGAATCATTATAGGAACCCAGAGAATATCTCTATGATGTATCTATCTATCTATCTCTATACGTATAACTATCTTAAGATAGTTATACTACTAATTTATCCTAGTTCATTCAAAAGAAAGATCTGTGCTAATATTGTTTGGACAATTAAATACTTATATCTTGTACTCTAATTTATAGATAACAATACGCAATGTATTAACCATTGTTACTCTATTATCTTGTTTTGAAATTTTATTTTTTTCTCTTTAAAATAAATTTTTTTTAAAAATCACAAACCATGGTCTCATGAATGTAGGTTAGATTGTATCTTTTAGTATTTTAATAAAGTCCTAAGTGAAGTTAAATAAGAACAGTTGATATAATGAATTAAGTAAGAAACTTTTAACTACAAATCCAAGACATCCAGAATAGGTTCCTTTTTTGGTTTATTAAAACAAAACTACATTTCTGTGCTTCTCACAATACATTATCAGGCATAAAAATCAATCATTTCCAAGTAAGTTTCACTCACAAAATCACACAGCATTATTTTACAATACTCTGTAGTCATTCTTTTTACAACACTAACATTTCTTTGTACAACAAAAGCGTTAATACCTTCCATCAAGACATTTAGCCCTTTAACTAGAAATAAGGTCAAGAGTTTCTTTCAAAGCAATCATTAGTTTGTATTAAACTAAAATGCCAGGTGGCAACTCTCAGGTTCCTAAAAAGGGTATTTTAAAAAAACTGATTTATGTACCATAGTCTTATAAACATCAATGATAGGTCCTATCATTTCTAAACACTAGAACTATCTATAGATAAAAAAATCTCCATTCTATTATGCAACGTTTTCTTCTGGATCTGAATTACAACATTATTTACCCCAATTAATCTTTATATTAATTCTGCTATGTTCAGTTTAAAAGCCAGGGTTATTGACGGCTGATCTTTCCATCAAAGGAAAGTGCTAGGACCACCTATATTACGATTTTCTGTGCTTATTCTTTCCAGAGGAGGAAAAATACATCCGTTCAATGCAACATTTCATGGTACAAAGTGCAAGCAAATTCTGCTTCGGTGCCATCTGCTCACTACTGTCTGGTCTCCTGAAAGAACTTCCTACGGTAGTTTCCCAAAATGCTTTCCATAGGCTACTAGTGAGAGGTACAGAAATGTCCCAACAGGGAAGAATGTCCTGAGGTCAAGATAGTTTGGGAAATGCTGGGCTAAACAAGCTTCTCACTGCCCAGGCTGAGCCCATACCATGCTAGAGTGAACTGTAAGTTGCCGAGTGCAAGCTCAGTTCCCGGCAGCACTTGGTACAAAGCTCATGTCACAGAGCACCCGCGTTACCTGGAGCGCTGTGGGAAATGCTTCCTCCTCTGGACCGCAGGAAACACTGCAATCTGAGCTTCCATCTGTGGCCACCCTGGATGTATTTTCTCCACTCAACCTCAGGACTTTGTGAGACTTAACAGCTGAGAAGGAAGATGTGGTGTTTTTTCGGTTCTTCATTCTACACACTTCGCTCTGTGTTTGCCCTTGTTTCTCTTAGATTTTTAAAAGAGCAAAAGTCCTTCCTTTCTTCTGAATTACTTAAGACATTCCCATTTTTAAAAACAGTGCAGTTTCATATTGCTTATTATTGGATTTTTTTTTTTTTAAACTTGACTCACAGTTGTCCCCTGAAGGGCATGCATTTCGGTTTTACAGAAATGCAATAGAGTAAACTGTAATACATTATTTACAAGCACCTAGTTTGATTAACATGAAAGCCATCCACTGTTATAAAACAATGAGAATTTAATCTATTAGCAAAACAGTACTATCTGGAAGCTTTATTGTGATGACTTTTTTTTTTCAGTAATGAGGCACTGAAGAATGAGTTGTGCTAAAATTAACTCAAAGGTCAGCTTGTCGGGATGAACGTAACTTTGGTTGAGATTTTTCTTCCTTGAAAAAGGTTTTGAAGCACCAGTTAATTACCAAAAAGCATGCGTATTTATCCTCACAGTGAGTTGAGTGGCGAGACAACTAGCAAACTGCATTCCCCGAAGCATGTGATTGAATTTTTTGAAAACAACCAAAAGGGAGAATAACACAGGAGAAGCCATGGCTTCTCTTTACAGGCTGGCAAAACAGCAGCTCTTTGCAGAGGAGACAGGCAGAGCAGATATCCACTGGGAAGTCAGTCCCAGCCTTAACTTTCCAGACGAGGGTCTGAGTGATCCTGGGTTTAAAATTTAGAGGACAAAGAAAAGAAGAAAGGGAGGAGGGAAGGAGAGAGGAAAGAAAGATTGGAAGAGGGCGGACAGGCAGGCAGGCAGGTAAACAGACAGGCCGACGAGAAGACTAGTGAAACGTTAGATTCTCCAGTTAAACACCCAAGGGAATAAACAAGACTTCCTGGGTAACCCCAAGAACAGACAAAGGAGGTGCTCCTCTTTCCACCCTAGTTTAGAAAATGAAAATTTCAAAGGTGAGTAGCTCACTCGATATCGTAATTGCTACAACTTACAGTGACAACAGTACATGAGTTCCTCAGAAAAAATAAATTTCACACACAGAATCTGAGAAGAGCAGAAAGGGATCACAACGGCACAGCAATATCGCTGTGAGTTTCAAACAAGATTGTTTCATACAGTGTGAAGTACCAATCAGTGGCCCTCTCTCTCCCAACACATACACGATTCACAAGGTACTATTAGTGTTTCAAATCCGAACTTAGGAAAGTACAGACTTAATTCTCAATACTTTTATACTAAATCCACAGAATTTATGCGACAGTCATCAGAAAAAATTCCTAGTTCCATGACTATGTGGAGATAAGGGATAGTGAACTATTAGAAAAAATTTTAACATTGCACGATCACTATCACCATAATTACCACAATTAACAATTATGCTCCCTCCTCACAAAAAGACTCCTACTTTTTAAAAGCAGGCAATTTTTAATAATTATTTGCCTCTACATGGCATTGGGCCTTAGGCATGTTACCAGTATAAATTTCTTAAGAAACATGGTTTTTTCTCTCAAAGCTAAAAATCCACAAATGCCTCCAACCATTCACCGATCAGTAGTTCGCTGTACATATAGAACAAGTTGTTCAATCCACAAGTGAATACCTGTCACCCAGTGGGGTGCAGTGTACGACCTGTGAGCAGTACATGAAAGCCCTGGGTCAGCAGTCTGCATCCAGGTACCGGGTGAGATCAGGGTCCAGCAGGCTGAGCTAATCAAACTAGTGCTGTGGCTGTTTGGTTAGAGGGTTTCTAAGAAACACCTGTACCTAGGAGAGGCCGTCGCTACCACCCAAGGGGTGAGAAAAGGTACTAACATAAAACAGGAACGTTTTTAAATACTTGCTGGTCATTTAAAACTCAATGGCACTTTTTTCAGTGAGTAACCGTTTTCTGTGCCAATCTTCCGGCCAACTTTACCTTAAAGTTTGCCAGCCAAATTTATCTCCTAATGTCAGCTATTTGATAGCAACATCTCAATTCCTGACCTAAACTAATATTGTCTGTTTTCATGTAGCTCTTAAAATGCTTTCTAAATCTGAGTGCAAAGCACGGCACAGCAATACCTGGGCACGATGTCCCCCAGCCCATTCCCTGCAAAGCACTTTGGGATGAAGAGGGCTCCCACTCTGAGTCTAGCTATTACCGACAAAGATAAAACTGCAAAGAGTGAATGGATGATTCAATTATTTTTAAAGGAAGTATTAACCATGAATCAGAAAATATACCTATGAACGACCCACCAGCACTCGGAATCCTATGCAAGACTCACTTCCAGCATACAACACTTCTGTGGCCCTCACACCAATTAGTCCTTAGAAGTTGTACTTAAAATGTAAATCTTTAATAAACGTCAAAATAATTTATTGAGACTTCATCTAGGAACCTACTGATTATGGGCTGCAGACAGAGGCCGAAGGCCTCCCCAGTGTTATCCGCGGGCCGCTGTGCCTCAGGCCAAGCAGAGCACAGTCCACAGAGGGAGAAGGCACTTGTCTTCCGGAAAGTCACCTCAGGACAGCGCGGGCCGGTCATGCGATGGCGTCTGCGGCTGCGGGGCCAGAGGATGAGCATGCAGGGACTCGTCTCCGGCCTTTCGCTTGCCAGAGGTACCACGGGTTGCCTAGAGCACCACAAAGCTCAGGATATACTCCAGCAGTTTCTGCCGGTTGCACTGAGGTAGGAAAGTGCTGCTCAGTTCTAGAACAGATACTCTCTTTTGCTTGGTCTCTTTGAAAACCTGGAGAGAAAACTTAGAGTAAATTAAAAGCAAAAACGTTTTTCATAAAGAGAGGTGAACATTCCTGTGGTCAGTGCTGTCTGTCCTGTGTCCCAGACCCAAAAAGGCAGTAAAGGTCCACAAGAGCGAGTGCTGTGGGGCGAATGTGGCTGTGGAGACAGGCGGGCGCGACGTCGGAGGGTGCGGTACAGGTGCCAGGCGTTGCCCGAGGTTCAGCCAGTGCACTATGCTTCCAACTTTATGCTCGGACACACTCACAAGCAAGCTCCGGAAAAGGCGCCTGATGGCTCTGTAGGGCTCAGGTCCCACACGGAATGTGACAGTAAAGGAGACCTGGGACACTACTGGCAATACCAGTAAAAGTGTAAGGGTGAATATTAACAACCGAACATCATATAGAATAATTAGAAGCCGATAATAACAAATGCTGGTGGGCTGTGAGGAAAAAGGAACCCTTCTCCACTGCTGGTGGGAGTGTGGACTGGTGCAACCACTGTGGAATCCAGTGTGGAGATTCCTCAAAAACTAGGACTAGAGGTCCCACCTAACCCAGCTGTTCCCCTCTGGTTATCTTCCCAAAAGAATTAAAAACATCATACCACAGCAATATACGTGCATCCATGTTTACAGCAGCATAATTTGTAATAGCTAAATCTTGGAAACAGCCCAAGTACCCATTAACTGGTGAATGGATAAAGAAGTGGTTGTCTTATACAGTGGAGTACTACTCTACCATAAAGAAGCATATGCTGGAGACATTTCTAGGAAAATGAATGCACTTGAGTCCATACTCTTAAGTGAAATAAATCAGACACATATGTGTAAATACCTCATTGTTTCTCTGGTGCGAGAAATTGAAAGTATAAATAAGAGCCAAAATGTGTAATAGGTATTGTGAAAAAGAAAGAAAAGGATCAAGTGGGGAGGGGAACAAGGAAGATGGGAAGGAGAAAGGAAAGAAAGGAAAAGTAAAAAAAAAAAAAAAAAGAGAGAAAAGAAAAATATGGGGGCTGGGGGTTTAGCTCAGCGGCACAGTGCCTGCCCGGCAAGTGCAAGCTTGTGAGTTCGATTCCCGGCACGAGGAAAAAAAAAAAAAAGAAAAATAGGGAAGCAAAGTTTTATAAATGGGGAAGGGGGAGGGATGGAGGGGAGGGAATGGAAAAGGTAATAAGTTATATCATGTGCAGGTATAAATTCTCTATGATGAAACTTATCATTATATATCTACAATGTACCAATAAAATCTGATTTAAAAAAGAGAAAGTAAAAACTGAGCTTGCAGAAGCATCTTGAAACACACCAATATCTATTATGTATAAAGTTGGGAATAAATGTAAAACCAGCAAAATTTGGGGATAGTCAAATAAATCCATGCCTAAGGGTGTCCCCTTCAACCTGTCCCTCTCCAACCTCATCACCAGAAACGTCCTCCCACCGGAACTATTCGAAAGGGCTTCTCTTGAGGTCCACCCCCACTGCAAAGGCAGGCAAACAGATGACCCACAGAGGACAAGAGTTAGCGCAGCTTCTGTACCATCAGTGGAGAACACCTACCCCAATATCCTTAAACATTTTCACAGCGTTCTTCACGAGGCAATACGTGGCACTCTCAGCTGCAGAGAAACGAGAAGGCCCTGTCAGTGTCTAGGCCCAGCACAGAGGACAGTCCTAACGTCCACGTCAGCTCACTGCATGTGCAGTCCGAAGAGGAGGACAGGAAGGCAGCAGATTGGGCAAGGCCCATTTCTGCACTGGAAACCCCTGAGCTCTCTCCCAAATTATCTGTTGTTCCTTTAAACCTACTCTGTCATCTATTAACGTTAAAAAAAAATACGACATAGAAGTTGCAAGGAAGGGAGAGAAAGGAGGGAGGGGAGGGAGGGGAACTACCTAAAGCATCTATCCTGCAGGGCTTTTGTGAAAACAAGGTGTAAATATTCTTCTAATTACATAGTGATACATAAATGATCCCTATTCCTGTGAAGTCAGACAGAACACAAGTCTAGGGGTCAGAAAACGAGAATCCTAAACCCACATTTTGCCATTAACTAGACATATAAACTTAGTTTCCTCATCCAAAAAGTAAAGTGACTAAATTAAATTATATATAAATACCTCTTGCTCTATAACTTGATTCAACATAATTTTAGTTCCAAACCATCACTATCTAAAATGCTATTTCCATACCAATCACAATTCTTTGAGAAAGATGATAAAACAGGCAACACTCCAAGAGCTGGTCAGGGTGTGGAGCTACTAGAACACACCACTTGTGGGAACGCAAGTTGACACAGCACTTGCAGTACCTACTGAAGCTGAATATGCCCACAGGCTGTGCCCAGGCAACTGTATCCCTAACTCTGCACAGAAGCATACATATGACCAGATAGTCTCCCAAAGACATAGTCAAACATGTTCACAGCAACACTATGCAAAGTAGCTCTAAACTGTACACAACCTGAACATCCACCAACAGTAGAATGAGTACAATGTGGAAAACACTTACATATTAGAACACAGCACAGCAACAAAGAAAACTGCACGCAATACGCATGAACCCCACAAACAATGTTAAGTGAGGAAAGCCAGACAGAAGAGCCTATCACTTGTCATTTAATTTATATATCGAATCAGAGAGTAGTAATGATTTACACAGAGGTCAGGATAAGTTTGCATTTTTCTAATTTTCTGTAATTAGATTTCTGTAATAGTTTTTTTAACATAGTTTTAAAAAGAGGTCAAAGTGGTGCCTTACATACCATAAACTGCAATATTTCTTTCTGTCCTGGTTAGTAGGTATTTATGCAGCTTTTGCAGGTATTCGGGCTCAGGAACGGGACCGCTGAAGTTGTGAACGAAGATGGCAGCAGAGCTGTAGGCCTCCAGCAAGGGCCCAAGGAGCCGCTGCAGGAAGGCGATGAACTGCTGGTGCTCCTTGGACTGGCTCACCTGAGAGGGCAAGAGCAGCAGATGAAGTCACGGGGAAGGGACAGGAGGAGCGAAGCAAGCTGACGACGACTTTCTTCGGCGAACCAGGAGCTTGAGGAGACAGCCACTCACACAGCACTGTTCGCTACTGCTCCTCCTGCAGAGAATCTGCTGGAAATAACTGCTGATATTGGAAATTGCAATTTTGCTGATGAAAATTGCTGATATGGTTCTCTATTGCAATCATTCACTTTTATAGTGTTTGAAGCTTGACTTCCTTGAACAATCACCTAGAAGAAACTTTCAAAATTGAATGGCATAAACATGCAACACCGTCATTGCAAAAAATAGTTGCTGCGGCTGAGCTCTCCAGGGTTTGAAGTCTGAGTTCAGCAGCCACTCAAGTATGGACAGGGCCACAAGACAAACCACCGGGGCCGTCTCAGCGCCTCACCAGGTCCCATCTCTGCCTCTCCCCAGCCTTCACTGCAGTCCAGCACCATGGAGGAGGAAGGCCGTAGTGGAGGGATGCCTCCCACGGCCTCCTCAAAACACGCAGGCTCACTTCAGCCTCTTCAGATGGTAATACTCAAGGTATTTCTAAATATCATTTTTTTTGAAAATAAGTCTTGCCTCATAGGGAGGGAGCACGGGTACATAAGCAGGCACCTGTGCATTTTATGAGGGATAAATTTTATGAGGGATCTGTAGCTTCCTTCTTCCTGACTTTTCAACTTTCATTTCCTTTCCACTTACCAATCCTCAAACTGAAGTGGTTTGAGAGTCTTCACTAGCTAGAAGGCACCAGAGCTGGTGAGTGGGCGTGGTGTGCCAGACACAGATGAATGGAGCAGCGTGCAAGCTCATCGCCTCAACCCCTCACTGTGAAGTACCCCTGAATTCGTCACCAAAGTACCTTCAGGTAGCAATCTCGCTGCTCCTCACCAAAATCACTGTCTTCATCTTCTTCGTCACTTCGCCAAGACAATGGTTCCGGAAGCTTCTTGTCCCACTGCTGCTCTGCAAGACCAGGACTGATATCTTCCTGCTCATCTTGCTATGCCAAGGAGATGGCCAACAGTAAAGGAATATGCTTGGACACAAGAAGACTGCCCAGCTGGACCCCAGACAAGGCAGTCTTCTCTCTTCTCAGCCCCTCCCCCATTTGGGCCATCCCCACCGCCCATCCGCCTTCCTGTCCAGACACAACCACCCGGCAGGCAGCAGGGGAGGAAGAAAAATAGGAGCTTGGGGAAACGGCTACAAGACAGATCAAATAAAAATACTCTCACATCTCCTAAATTACGACGCCATGCTCTCCTCACTACACTAAATCTCCTGAAGTTAAAATCTCATAAGAGAAATGTGCACTTGTGCAAGCTGTGCACATACCGACACGTACATCTCATCTTAGAACGCAACTTCTGATGCCCCAGAATCAAGTTGCGATGTGCATCAGGTCACACCACTTACACAGAAGAACCCAAAATATGAACCCCAAAAGGTGCTTTCTATCCTCATTGTTATTTCTCTCTCCTCTCATTTGGGCATGACTACAGGAAATATGATTATCAGTTAAAATAACTGGTAGAAGTAGTGGTTTAAATAATTGGTAAAAAAGATAAGAAAATGAAGAGCAAGAAACTCAATCACAAATAAAGGAAGACCTCCCTTACCTCTGCCACTGTAAGGATGCCGTACTGAATAAACCTTCCTACTGTTTCATGGCAAACTTGGTAAAAAGTCTGGCAGGGCTGAAAAGAAAAGTCATTGCAACGTAAGCGTCACTATTCTATATTTCTCTCCTTAAAGACAAAATGTGTATAAAGTGGCTGCCAAATCCATCCATTCGATCACCTAACTCACGCTCCCAGGCAAGTCCCATGCTTCCAGCACTCACTCTTGACAAATGCCTGCCAGTTAAGGCCTCAAAACAGGGCAGACCTCTTTCCCCTGCCTGGCAGTGCACCTAAGGCAGCACCACCTGCAGAGGGCGCTCCCGAGCCCGGTCTCCTCCCCTAGAGGAGCAAGTTGTATGAAGAGCAGCTTCTCAGGACCACACCACCTGTTTCTTTTCCTTTATAAGACAAGCTCTCTGCAAAGCCCAGCCTACAGGAAGGTTAGTTCGCAAAAGTAGTGAAGAAGAAAACACAGCATTCCAGTAACAGAATGAAGCCAACGAAGGACGAGGCCAGTCACACCATCCTACCACCCACAGTTCACATAGAACATGCTCCCCAAGAAAGGGCCACCACCAACTACACACACAGAGGAGGAGGAAGGGGCTGCACTCGAAACTCAGGTCCTCGTAAGTGGCCCAAGACACACCCACATGGGGAAAGAGAATGTCAGAGCACAAATAAAATATGGTTCTACAGGATGATTTTGAGGGGAAAAATATATTGCTTAAAGTATGTGCCTCCTTTCAAATGTCTGCAAGTGCTGTGATATAAACTCACGCTTGCACTGCTGGGTCTTAGCTTCCCCATTCATAAACTGATGGGGAGTTGAACAGACGATCATTAAACAGTTTCTGACTCTCATCCCCTGCGGTTTTGTCAGCCACAGGTGGGTGTATTAATCAGTGACAAACACTGGCAGGGCCTCATGCACAATAAAGGCCCAGTGACTTTGGATGTGACCAACTGAGAAGGTTGAGCAATCTGTCATCTCACACCTCAGCTGCATGAAGGCTTCACAGGGCGGTGAGCCAGATACCAGTCAAGATAGCTAATGCCGAGTTGGCTGGTGGGCACTGAAACCCAGAACTAGAATGAAAGCTTGCAAGAATGGGCCAAAAGTTCCGTAAGAAACGAAGATGGTTAATGCTTAATGTTTTCACACAAATAAGTGAGAGAGAACAGGTCACCCAGAAAAGCCTTCACTCACAAGAGAAATAGTGCCTTCGTTGGAGAGCAGATAGCATAGGCTGGCAGCCTTCCGCACCAGCTGCTCCTGGCTCACCATGCTGCCAGAGGCGCCGGCGGGCCCTCCCGAGCCCCTCTTATTCAGAACTGCGTACAGGCTGCAGGCTAAGGAAATAAACGGCAAAAATAAAGTCACTGCCAAAATGTCTCCAAGGAAAACTTCAGCTGGTCCTGATAACTGGAGTTTATCTTAAGAGACTGTTACTGTATCAAAAACAACGGCCTGCGTTTCCTAGAGAATTTTAAATAAAACCCCACAGAATTCAATTCCCATGATTCCATGAGATCTCAACTATAGCAAAGAACTTCCCCAGGGCTCAGTTCCCTTTGCTCTCCCTCCTGTGTGTTCTCTAATGGCTGAGTCATCCGCTCTTCACAGCCCTAGGTGTCATCTCGTTTAGATTTTCAGCTCCTGGCCCGCAAACCATCCTGTCTCCCCCTCCACAGTAATAAGTACACTACTATGCAAATGCTAACTCAGTAACTACCTGTCATAGTTAGAAATAGTGATATGGCAGCAGATTGCATTTTCATTTGAAAACTAGAACTACAGCACTGCAGTCCCTCAAACAAGGAGCCATCGTTCCAAGTACACACCACTTTGTGTTCTAGGCCTTTCTACTTTCTAAGGAAACAGCTGACTATATTTCAAGCCTGACATACCTATGATGGCCTCCATGATGAAGACGTGAAGTACCCCGTTGCTGTAGAAGTTGAGTTCAAAGACTGATGGGACAGTTGTGCTGGGAGTAATAAAAAACTCATCGTTCCTGCTGGTGTGCGTGATTGTGACACAATTCCCCAGCAGCTGTATAGCATGCATGACAACATCTTCTGAATTTCCTGAGAACCCCAGGTCAAAATCACGAGCCAAAACTTCCTCCTTCATCACGAAGAAGTCTTCTACCAATGTGGAGAGATCGATTCCCTAGAGAGACAGAAACGGTGTCATAACAGTAGGAAACCTACTGTCCCAAAAGGCCAAGAGGCCAGCGTTCCAGGCTTTCTTGCCTTGGCTTTCCCACAGCTTGTCATTCTGGCACCTACAGAAATAGGCACAAATCACCAGTGTGGAGCCAATCAAAACCACTTAAAAAGCTGGTCCCCCGGCAATGTCACGATATTCCACCTTCCAGAGACCACCCTAGCCACATCACATGACATGAGGACAGTAAGACCACATGAAGAAGAAAAAGCTATCTAACAGTGAGAATTGCTTATTTTTTTAGCAAAAATTCTTTTTAAATGTTATTTGACAAATCTTTATTTGATAACCATACACTGGCACTGTCTGGTGTTGAGAATGTGACTGTGAATAAGACAGACATGATTTGTCCCACAGTAGAGCTTAGACAAGTGCATTATGGGAGGGCACTTTACATCTGAAACACCAATCAAAGCATTGCCTCTTCACTACCTGAACACATAGTATGTGTCAGTGAGGTGCACTTTATTTACTTTAATTACATTAATCAAAGTCTGTAAACACTTTACCAAGTCTGTACACCCCTTCGGGCAGGGCCTTATTTCACTGTTTATGTCACAGTACTAGCCATGAGTGGTCCAAATCTACCCTAAGTGTCTGGACAGCTGACAAACATTCTCCAGCCTTCCACTGAGCTGCGGGCAACATCACGGACCTACCTGCCTGTGTCTGTAGAGGAGCAGGCAGGCTACGATATGGGTGGACATAATGGCACAGGACTTGCTAGCAGCTGCAAGGCAAACACAGAGCTTAGTTGTATTTTTTTTCTGATATAGCTGAAGCCCTTTAAAGTATCTTAACTGTAATCAGGAGTATTTAAAAGTATACAAGTAGGGGCTGGGGATTTAGCTCAGTGGCAAAGCGCCTGCCTGGCAAGTGCAAGGTCGCGAGTTCGGTTCCCAGTACCGGAGAAAAACCAAAAAAAATAAATAAATAAATAAAAGTATACAAGTGTTCCACCATACTTCCTCTAACTGAAATTTGTCAAAAGGAAGTTATACCACTCCTGAGCGTCAGTAAGATGGGACCACATTGGACATCACTATTCAACACGCCAGTCCGCCAGGTCCACCCTCAACCCAGGCCAGTGGAATCAGGGTACTGGATGATCAAGAACCAAAGTATGAGCCTGCTCTAGAGTTCTACTTGCCATCCCTCTTTTATGTTTCTTCACTCTCTGGTTTGCCAAATTAAAATGACAGTGTAGTAAAGACAATAAAAGGAGAATTGAAGTCAGAAAAATCTGGGCTCAAATCCTAACCTCTACACTAATTAATTTTATGACTTGGGAAAAATTACATATATTTCTGAGCCACAGTTTCAAAAATACTACATAGCTCACTGGGTGAGAAGGAAGTAAGGTCCAGGCAAGCATGCACAGCACTGGGTACTCAATATAGTATAGCCTCACTTTCTCTTTCCAACCCAGAGAAGAGGACAGGCACGGAAATACTTTGACATCACCCACGGTGCATACCTGAACACTACAGATTTGTAGAAAATTATCAAATAGATAATTATGTGAATTTCTATGGAATAATTTGAAATAAGGATATGAGTTTTCTGAGCAATCACAGTGAATTCATGAATACTTCACTCATAATTAAAGCTTCCAGTGTTTGAAAAAAAGTATTTGGTACCATATTTATAGTCATTAAAAACAATATTTATAAAGAGTTCTTGAAAACATTAATAAATGTGGTGTCAGTAGAAAACAGCACAATACAAAACTGTTGAAATATTTTTAGAGACCTGACAGCAACACCACTGGTTACTGGAGTAACAGATTTGCTACTTCTTTCACCTCTATTGTCCAACTTTTCGATAATTAACATGTATTCCTTTCTGCATCCAGATCATGGGCAGGGGAGACACACAATCATGTGCTTGAGAACGAGGCCTTTGGGCTGGGGATGTGGTGCAGTGGTGCAGCCCCTGCCTAGCATCCGTGCGGCTCTGGGTTCCATCGCCTCACCTCAGAAAGAAAAAGAAAGAATCTTCTAGTGCAGTCAATACGAAAAGGAGCAGCCAGTGTGGAAGGAGTGAGCCGAAGGAAAGAGCCCTCCACCCGGCATCGCCAACACCGCCGGGCCCGGCCTAGGCATGGCGAGAAGAGGTCCGACCAGCTGAGCACCAGCACCAGAGCACCAGCCCGGGATTTGAAGCAGCCTTTCCAACAGTGCACAGGCTGCAGTATAGAACCGAAGGAAGGCTCGCCATGCTCCAGCTCACAGCGCACTCCGATTCAAGCTGACCTGAAGTGTTTGTGCACAGCTACCCCACCAAGTAGAACAGAAGCTCTGCGAGGATGGAATCACGAAGGATTCCATTTACATGCCCCCCCCGCTACAGCAAAACCTTAGCATGAGAGCTGCTTAATATTTCCTGAACAAAAATACTCATCCGGTCAGAGGAGAATGGGACATACACACATCACCCTACACGTTGTACCTCCACTGAGTTCAAAAACACATTCATAAGCAAAGGAAGCCACAAATAATTTGGACAAAACTGTGCTTTGAAAAGGACAAGAATTACCACATGACAACGAATGCTTACCAAGCGCTGCATGAGAAATTTTACTCATATTCCCTCAAATCCCCAAATATCACCTTCTTTCCAGTGCTTGACTTCTTCCACTTGTACATTAAGTAACTGACCTAGAATGGCAAACTAACGCCAGCAGATTCTGAAACCCGTGAGATCTGCATGGCGCCGTGTCGAATCTGAATTGTGGAACTAAAGACTGTGGAATTCTACTTACTGAACAGAATGTGCTCGGCCAGGTTGGCAATCAGTCTTCTTCGGAAGAATTCATCTGCTGCGCCCCGGGCCTCGTTGCTGGACATGTCTGCACCTTCAGCAGCGGCATCATTAGGTCTGGAAAGACTTTTAAAATCAGTCTCCCACAGCCCTACTCCTTCACAAGGCAGACTACATGGACTAATCTATAAATGTGTCTGCTACTTCAAATTACTACTGCTATTTTAAACTGAAGCCACAAATGGATTATTTCGACGGGCTGTTTTCTTCTATAATATATTTTATTATCCTAACATTCTCTCTTGAGTAAATGTTATTTAGTTATTATTAGAGAGTCTATTGGTATATTACTTTCAAAATTCACTGCAAAAAAATGCAGAAAGCAAGATGGTATGTTTTAAGACATGTCTGAAAATTCAATACTTTCATCACCTATTGAAGGAAGGGCTTCATATCAAATTTCTCTAAGTTATAATTCAATTTGAATTCTGGAAAATTCAAATAGCAGAATACTGTTTCATCTATGTATAATATGCATACTCTAAGCTACTACCAAGCAGAATTCAATGCAAACATTCAAAAAGATAAATGAAGTAAGAACTCTTACACAAATTACAAAATCAAAGATTTTAAATGCACATAATCAAAAACCTCCAAACTGGGGCTGGGGATTTAGCTCAGTGGCACAGCGCCTGCCTGGCAAGTGCAAGGTCATGAGTTCGATTCCCGGTACCGGAAAAACAAAACAAAACAAAACAAAACAAAACAAAAACCCTCCAGACTAATATTAAAACACACTTCAATATCCTTTATCATATCAAGAAAACGATATCTACTTAGGAAATGAGTTAGAAGCAGCATGTTCTTAATAAAGTTAATCTACTTTTCCATGCAATATTAGAAATAACAGTTAATTGAGAGTTTAATACAAAAAGAGTTCTGTAAATCTTACCTTGAAGGAAGGATAGCTGGTAACAATGCTTGCTCCAGAGTAAGTGGAGCAGACACAGGTTTCTGACTTTGACTTTCTAAATATTCCTGGGAAAGGAGAGGGGGTCATGATCAGTAGTCTTATTGTCTCACTTGCATATCAACACATAAAATACATTTTGATCTTCAAAGGTGAAAAGAAAACTTTTCATAAATAACCCATGCTATGGAGCATCAGAAATACCTTCTCTATCCTAAACTGTCTTCAGAAATTCAAAATAACATTCACAGAACATTAAGTATGAAGTTTAAGAAATGAAGACACAAAGAACAGGAAGATGATTAAATAAAATCATTTTAAAATTAAAGGAAAAATTTAACTTCGCTCACATCTTCATGGAAATTACTTGACGTTACCAATATTAGTAATAGCGATAATGGCAACAACCATACTCTTTGAAGACAAAGTAGTGACCTGAGAGTCATGTAATAGTCAAAAGAACTTCAGCCCAAGAACAAGTCATACTAAAGTGGAGAAACTGTGCAACAGTTTAAAAAATTAAAAAATAAAGAACATGTGGTAGACAATGGGGAGGTTCCTCTAAGCTGAAAGCATCGAAGGCTAGAAAATATCTACACAGCAGTTAGAATCTTTTAAGGTTGAGCCAAAAGGAGAACAGGAGTAAGGTAAGACCTCTGCTCCTTATCCTTGGGTTCCTTACCCATCCTTTACTCTCTCCGTGACTAATCTGAAAATTTTAAGAATTTAAAATGGCGAGGACCTCAGCGAACTGGCAGCCCAAGACTTCACTGAGGATGACACTCTGGGGACATCTGGGCGCTGGATATCTACTCAGTAGGACACAGCTGCATCGTAACTAACAGTTTCACCCCACTTATAGCAATAAGCCTGAGCTTCGTATCTCCCAAAGACAGGCACGCTTTGGTGGACAACTGATGAAATGCCATCTTTACCATAGTCCTCATTTGTAGAAGAGGAAACAGAGACCGCAATCATACAGCAGTGAGCCTGGAGCCAGGACAAGAGGCCAGGTTTTCTGCTCCAGGTCAGTGCTTTAGCATAGTTTTTTTCCAACAGACTCTTACCTTTAAGGAAAATGGTTGTGCAAAATCCACTCTGACATAGCCATAGTTTTTTCGTAACATTCTAATAACACCTCTTGCTACGCTCCAAAGGCTCTCATTCTTCTTAGGTTTGCCCTAAGTTCCAACAGCAAAAACAGAAGCAAAACTGTGAGAAATAAAGTTAACATATGCATATTCTCTTTTCTAAAGAATAATTTGTTTATAGAAACCACAGGTTCGGGCTAGGGATACAGCTCAGTGGCACAAGTGCCTGCCTGGCAAGCCCAAGGTCCTGAGTTCAATTCTCAGTTCCAAAAAAAAAAAGAAAAGAAAAAGAAACCGTAAGTTCATCTTGAAGAAGACTGATGACTAAAGAAGAAAAATAAATTTTTCATTAACTGAGACCTGTCAGATGCAGTAATGTCATTAGGGGAAGTAATTCAGCCGGTGGAAAACATTTAACACTAGTTCATTTAGTACAGTGTTTACATAGCACAAAAACACAGCTATAAGCAAGTGAAGGGCAAAATGACATTATACCCGGAAAAACTGCTCTAAGTTCTCAGGTAAAAGTAAGATGCCAAAGAAGCCACTTATCTAAGGTCTGCTGATCCCCGGAGTACAAATACCTAACTTTAAACATTAAAGGCCAAAGTCAGTAGCCTTTGAGCTCAGTAGCCTTTGAGCTGACCATTCATTTAGAAAGAATTTGCTAGGTATCTGCACAAGGTACAATGACACCCTGAGACACAGCAAGCAGGGTAAACATGAGGGACACAGTGACAGCACATGGAGAAGAATTCCATCCAGGTAGTCGCCCAGGTCTATCACTTAATATTTTAAGCCTCCGGTTGTCAAGTGTCCTTGGACTTCTCATATGTTTGAAGCTACAATTTTGAAACAAGTACTTTGCCCAAGACTTCCACACTAAACTGGAACAAAACTAAATTCCTGGGGTACTCTTACACTGCTGACAGAAGGTGTAAGTTGGTAAAACCATTTTTTACCAACTGCTAAAGTGTTTGACAGCTTTACTAGAGCCGAACACACATACACACACACACACACACACATCATCATGATCATCCTCCTCCTCATCATCATCATTATACATATATATGTTTTTCCTATCAATTCTATTCTAGGGCCCTAACCAGCAAAATATATAAATTCCAAAAGAAATGTACAAAAATGATTATAGTTAAACTTTTTTCAAACAGTACAATAGATAAATTGTAGTTTATTCTTATATTAGAATACTACACAGTTATGAGAACAAGGGAACTATGTACAGCAATGTGGATGAATCTCACAAATATCTCAGCTTGAGCAATGAAGCCAGATGCAAGAAAGAAGGCCCACTGTATTATCCCGTTTATGTGAAGCTCAGCATGGACAAAACTAATCTGCTCTGTAAGCACTCAGTCAAGTGGTCAAACCTGAGGGGCTAACAGCAGGAAGGGTGCCAGGGCAAGTGCTGCAGTCCTGATAATACTATTCCTTCACCCAATAGCTGCCTACCTAGGCCATGTTCACTTTGTCATAACTGAATCTGCACGCTTACGATTTGTGCATTCTTTGATAACTACTAGACTTCGATAAAAAATGTACTGAAAAAACTACTTCTCAAACTAACATACAATTGCTTTGCTGACGCAACCCCACCAGTTGCTCAGGTTTCATTAAAAGTACCACATAAGTAGTGGGCCTGGGGGAAGTAAAGCACAGCACAGATGACAACTCAGTGGCAACTGTTCTTCCACTTTCCTATCGCATGCCGAGGCCAGCACTGACATGCTACCACGCCACTTCCTCTAAGCACAGATTCTCCCAATGGAGACGAAGGAGACTCACCATGCCCTCCCACGCATGCTGCATCCAGTGCTCTAAAATTAGTGTGCACCAAGAAAATACAGGTAGCTGATTCTAAAAGCAAATCTAAATGCCAGTGGCCAATCTGAAAAGCAGAGACAACTTTTATGTAGGCAGTCCTCTTACCAGTTGTTCACCATTGTAGTGACCTTCGATTATCCGATCATAGGAGATTCCAACAGGTATTATCAAGATGTCCGGGATAGTATTGGTAGACAGAGTATCTACCACCACTGACAAAAGTCCTGCCCGAGCACAGGAGGTCCTTCCACTCCTAGAGCGTGTGCCTTCTAGGAAAATCTCCAAGAACTGCTGTTGCCGAAGTAGTTCAACTATGTGCTAGGATATGAAGAGAAAGGAAAGCATGAAATTAAAATCACTTAGCTCAGAAAAATTAAATAGTAAAAAAAAAAACACTTCACTACTGATAAAATATTTCACCCACACCAAATGTAGCACAGCAGCTTTGCCAACCTTATATTTTAGTGACTAAAAAACATCAAACTCATACTTAAGCAGTAATCACTAAAATTACTCAGAGAATAGTTTTTCTAAAAGTTTCAATTCAAGTCTTTCTCCTTCCACCATGATGGCTAACATAATGACTTTCAGGATAATGAAGACCATACATACCCCATGCAGCAAAGCTCTATAGAGAATGTCTTTCCGCCCATCTGGTGTTTCGTCGAGCCTCCGTCGTATGAAAAAGCCCCCAAGCTTGTGGATCAAGGTACTGTAAATTCAAGAATGCATGAATTATTTTAAAGGAAAAGCGTAAAGAGGATATCAAATTCCAAGTTACTTCAAAACATTTGCCATTTGGATATAAACCACATGCGTTGTTTGAGTGCAGACAGTAGAAATGCAGACTTTCTGTCATTTTCCAAATTACTGACATGTTTTGCTCATTTATATTACCCAGCAGCCTGTGTGAGACTGCTCCATAGAATGAGGTTACAAAGGTGATGGTACAGATTTTAAGAGGACTTGTAGGACACCTGTAAATTTTAAACCCTCTCCATTCTCATGACAAGGACCCTTCAATATGCTGAAATCTGTTCGTGGCATGTTTACTACAAAATGAACAAAAGCTCCTTTGAGAAAATGTTCTCAAATAACTATTACTTGAAGAAGTTCCCTGCGAAATAAAAACAATTTTATCCAACTAAAATCAAGCATGATCTTTACAAAGCATGCAACAAATGTGCTTTGTTTACACGAACACAGAACCAAATTATGCTCCCACTCTATTTCTCTTTCTGTAACACAGATGAATTCTGACATGAGCTGAAATTTTGTAAGTCAGTGTTCCCACACTCACAGCCTCTTCCTATTCTATTTGAATAGAACAATGCTAATATAAATAGAAGTAAATATTAAGAGTGATACTGTATTAAATATTAATATATCTTTTAGTGGCTTCTACAGTCAGTGTAAGGAGGCCACAGTACGATGCTGCCAAAGCTTAATATCACTCCTTGAAATAAATTCATTATGAATGAGATGCGCTATTTACAAAAATAACGCAGCGTTTGTGACTTTGTAGGCTGGATGTAACAAAAGAAAGTAACAGAAGAAAGCCCCAATATAAAAGAAAACCCCAAATAAACAGGCTATTATCTAGCCTGCTAAGTCTCAAGGAATCTACAGTTTGCTGTCTGAAGGGAGGATGAGTTAAGTATAGACTAAAAAAGTTCATGAAAAGGAACTTTACTTATAAGAAATTATGATTTATTAAGGACTTTCAAAAGATCCTGAGAGCCAAACATGAACATAGGAGCACGTGAGGTATCCTGATGACTCCAGGCAAGGTGTCTCTGTAGTGCAGGGGGATGGTCCTTCTCCCTCTGAGACACACCTCCTAACCACGTTCTAGTGACTTTCTCATTCGGCTTCCCAGGTTCCTTGCCACTGGCGGAGGTGCTCGGAAGGCTACACAGGTATTCTAATTCCTGGAAAGGCATGTCTGCCCTGTAGGGTTCTATCACAGTATACTATAGCTAGGTATCTATTTCCTGTATTCCCCCCTGGACTATAGGTTATGTGACAGCAAAGACTGTGTGTCTTTTTCACTCATGCCTAACACACAGCTGGATAAATATCACTGACAGCATAAATGAATGGGTTCTCTTCCACTGATCACCTGAGTCTGTCTAGCTACAGAACTCTCAAAGCCTAGAGAACGCGGAGACAAGGGATTAACGGAGAGCTCCTCGGATCGGAAGGCTACAGCCCAGACTTATCAGCACACAGAGGTGATAATGCCACTTCATGAAACTACCTGCACAACCCGCCAGCCCACTTCCCTTTTAGTCTTTCTGCAAATTTATCCTCCTCTTACTTCTATTCACAGAGCTCACCTTACAGATGTTTGGTGCTTTGAAGTTCAAAAGCTCAATTTCTCAAACTGGCTCAACCTGCTCCTCACCAGTTCTCCACTGGTGATCAGACCCACCATCTACCCAGCTCCCTGGATGGAAAACACCTGGCAGTCTCATCGGCCACCTTCTTCCCTTCTCCTGAGCCCCAAATCTGGACCCGCACTGAGTCTTACAAACTCAACTTACTAAATACTTTTCAGATCTATACAGGGCTCTTAACACTGCTACACTTTTAACTTAAACCTTCATCTTTTGCCTAAACCAGTGATGGGGAACCTTTTAGAACTCTCAACAATACAAACAGCCTGCTGCAGTGCGCCTGCCATAGGTTCGGTGCCTAAATGATCATAACAGGAGCAGAATTAATTTAACTCCTTCTCATCCAGGATGACCTTTCAAAATGCAAACGTGAAGATGTCATAACTCAAGTACAGGAGAGACTCCTTTTTTTGGTACCAGGAATCGAACTCAGGACCTTTCACCTGCCAGGTAGGTGCTTGTGCCACTGAGCTATATCCCCGGCCCAGAATAGACTTTTAACTCTCAGCTTAGAACTTGTTCTCATCTAGCTCTCACTACCTAAGTAGCCACCTCCAGTCTCTGACCCCTCCCTCCCACATCCTATATTCTAACTCTACCGTAGTATCCACCACTTACCAAACATACCACGCTTTTGACTCTCTGCCTTTGCAAATACAGTTTCCTCTGAATGGAACCCACTACATTCTCTGAAAACCACTATAAATCACCTTAAATGTTACACTGTACTCTATACTACTCTACTAAATTATAAGGTCAAAAGTAGCAGTGATGGTTATTCTTATGTACCTTTCCGCTAACACCAGCACATCGCCTCCCTCCTGACAAGCCCAGTAACTTGCCATCTTGCCCTTCTAATTGTCCCGTATTCACTTGCTAAACATTGCCCATCATATTTAGGTTTTCATAGTTCATCAAACATCTCAAATAAAGTACATAAATAATAATAATAATCAATGTTGTTTTGTATTATCTAAATTTTACGTAATAAATAAGCACTAATTTTATAATGAAAGAGAAAAGACTAATGTCATCTTTAAAATAACACGTACCAAAAGGAATAACAAAAATTCTAAACATAACCTTTTCAATACCGTAAATTTCACAATAAGCCACTCTTACCTGAAGATTGGGATGTTCAGGTTATTGCCCGAGGCAATGTATGGGGCTTTGATGTTATGGCAGAAGAGAATGAACGTGAGCAGCAGGTAGTCAATGTGAGATCTGTGCACTGGTAGAAATATAAGTGGCAAATTTGTCTAGTAGAGAGAAGAACACCAAATGTTCATTTCAGATATGAAACTGTCACATTTTGCAACTGTATTTTGGTTGGGGTGACTCAAACACTGGCAAATCAGTGACTCACTCTTTTAAAACATTTTCCAACAATACATTTAACATTTTCCTTCAATTTAATACTTACTTAGCTAAACACAAGAACTACAACAACAACAGCAGAAATGACTTATGGAAGAAGAATAATTAAGAGTTCAGGATGACTCTATATATCTTCTGAGAGGCAGCTCTAACCAGGTAAAAAGAACATAGGGTTTTAGAGTCAGACTTGGTTTGAAATCCTGGACAAATCACTGTTTGTGACTTGAGATAATCTCTTCATTTATGTGTGCCTCTCTCTCCTTAAGTAGGGATTGTCTACCTGATTTTTAGGGTTATTGGAAGACACATTACAAAGGAATCCTACAGACTGACGATAGGTTCTCCTTCATCCCACTTCTCCCCAAATACAGATATTGCATTTACCACAAAAGGGCCACAGTTTCCAAATGGATTGAAATACATAAGGGTGTGCAAGACATCATTTGTGAAACCTCTAACATCTTCTACAAACATGGGGAAAAAGGACTGATAGAGCCCCAGGAATTCTTGCCTCAGTTGCAGCTTTAACCATCTCAAGTTGACCCTTGTGAATCTGAATGTTCCAGAAGAAGCTGTTGAACAGTTTTAGCAGCACCCACCCAGTCAGTCTGAAAGAAAAAAAACAAAATTTAAATCCATATACACATATATTTGTATATGTGATATATGTACGTTGACTTCTGAAACTATAACCTAAGAGTACTTCTAAATACTTGGCATATATGCAAGGAAGCCTGTGCATCTAGCTAGCAGAGCTACTGAGCGCACTTGAAATGCATACTACTTATTGAAGTATCCACTTAGTATGGACTAAAATCACATTGTACTCTAGTAATGCTCTGTACTTCAAAGGCAAATGCACAAGCTAATATTTACTGAGCAGATGATCCCTCTAACCCACACAAACCATGCCCTTTAAGACATGAATGTGTGAGGCCTGACTCACTCGTGAGGACAGCAGATGTCAGCAATAATCAAATGGCTGCTACCAATTAGCAGAGTTTGAGGTATCTTGAAGCCTACCACAGTGTTCAGTCCTGCTTGCCAAACACGATGGCTCTGGCTGAAAGCACTTCCCTTGACTTTTAATACCTGATCATCCCAGGTGAGACAGTAGCAACCATTTCTTGAAGGATCTTTTTAGCTTTCTTTTTCACTTTTTGGACAGCTTTGGATTGCTGCTGGGCAGAACCGTCCGGATTCAATTCAGCAGCCACTTCAGCAATTGCCTCTTGTACTCTGATTTGAAAATGGAAAGACAATGTAACTGGTTATATGTTACCTTGTGTTTTTAGTATTTTCTAAATTGCAACTATAATCACAAGACAAAATCTTTCTTCTCTTCAATATGCCGTAACATCAGAGAATAAGCTCATTTCAAATGATCCTCCTGGTTGTCTAGTAAAACTAAAGGCTATCACACTCCTAAATCCATGAATCCCCGAGGAATCTGAAAGGCAGGCTTAAGAATTTAATTCTCAATGGTTGTGGTGGTAAACACCTATAATCCCAGCACTCAGGCAGCTGAGGCAGGAGGATCATATCAAATTGAAGGACAACCTGAACTACATAGAGAATTCAAGGCCAGCCTGGACTACATAGCAAAACCCTGTCTCAAAAATCAAAACAAAAAAATTTAATTCCAATTCAATGGGTGATAATTATATGAATTTGAATGTCCCAGTTACGTTGTGAAGATATAAGTCACAGTCTGGCAAAAAACAAAAAAGGTTACCCCTTTGAACAAATCATTGAAAGTTACACAAAAATCCCCTGCCAAAGTAACGCATGATTTTCCCTTTGAAATTCTAATTTACTACTGACTTACACTGTCACCTCATTAGTAGAACTATATGTGAAACTCTCTGAGAAGTATCAAAAAGGAACATAAATATTTATAAATGTTTTCAAATCAAACCAGAATTTTAAAAAGCTATGGCTGAAGAACAAAATAGCACTGAGCAATAAGAAGTAAAGTAAAAGGAAAAGTTTAATTCAGTTTTGTAAATCTTACACTTGACACATGGGAGAAAAAAGTTAAACCTCCTTAAACCCTTTTAACATTCCAGTTACTAGTCAAAAACACAGGAATGAAATGAAACATACTTGAAGGTTTCAACTAGAAAACAGAACATTAATAATCCAGGAGAATTTCAAATAATTGTTTTCTGCCACCATTGCTACTGCCTAATGCAGTACAGTGAAGCTCCACACAATCCCATAACCCATTAGCACTAAAAGACCACCTGCAAAGGCAGCTGTACCCAGTGTACTTCTTGACCTGCACCTACTGTATTTGGCCAGGACGTTTTACAAGTATTCAGCATGACTGTTATACATGACAGTTGACATTATCAACTATTCACTTGTTCATTCAGTAAATATGTGCCTGAAGGAATGCAGCTTTAACAGCCCCACAGGGTCTACAAACAGCCCTTGGGAATTCAAAGTAGTTTTTCAGTCCACCTTGTCTCATGGCCCCAAACCCAGCCAGATCCCTACAATGGACCACACCACTGAGGCCAAACAGAATCACCTTTGCTCAAACTCCTACAGTCATTTATCTTCCCACTGCTGCCCCCAGCTGAGCACCTTGTAGTGAGAAGTAAGCGGGAGGCCCTGGAGGCTGCCTCTAGCCTCCTGTTGTTTCTTTCTCTCTTCTCAAAAGCACAGGAAGGGTCTCTGCCAGCCCCTTAGCTGGCTAAGAGAACCTATTCCAAAAGAAGTGGAATTATCTTAAACCTGTAAACTCCCTCTCTAGAATCTCATTCAGAACCCAGGAAAAGTTGACCACCAGAGAAGAGGTGACCAAAAGCTGTCAGCACAGTTAGACAGACTTTTCACCCATTCTTCTGAGGGCAGCAGTCACAGATTAATTACCTGGACCCCTTTATCTGCATAGGACGCTCTGTTCCCAGAACTGCTCTGCCCCTCACCCAACTCCACCGCAGCCCAGGAACTTGGCTCCAACCTTCCGCCTCTTCTCCTCACTCATTCATAATCCCCTAAGTATGCCTTACTCTACCTAAAACTGCCCTTATTCTCCCATCTCTCACTCTCCTATGAGGAAGGACATGGAAATTTCCGAATCTCATCCGGTTGGCGGGCAATCCCTCTAGGGTGACACCCAGTGCATGTTGATAAATTCAAATGCCTTTTTCTTCTGTTAACCTATTGCAGGTTCATTGCAGCGAACTTTTGGAAAGAAAGGAAAATCTCCTCCTGCCCTTCCAACTTCGTTCCATTGGGGTTCAAGCAACACCCTAATTGTAATCAAGCTCCTCTGAGAGCAAACACAGTCTCTTACTCCCTTAAGATTTGTGACAACTTCCTACTGTGGAAATTTGTCCTAGGTACGCAATAGCTGTTTGACAAAATATCGAACTCACTTCTCTCATGGTAATAAACTAGGAAATGCTATGTCCCAGCATTCATTTTACAGAGAACTTAAAGAACCCTGGAACTGTGTGCACATCTGAACTCTGACTCTTTCATGTCAGAGTTTCGGATGTTCTTGTCTTTCACGTTCTGGAAGCCCATTCAGTTATTCATCCATAAACCAGAACTATTCTTCCCGCACGGCACCATTCACAAAAACCATCCATTCCCCTCCCTTCCCTCAGTTTCCTACGGAGCTTAACATTTAAGGTTCAAAACTGCAAATACTTCTCAAGATGGAGTCCCAGATGAACCAAAGGGTAAGGAACAGACTGGCTTCCCACTCCCACCACACGCCTACTTCTCTTCCCACCCTGACGACCACGTCCTCACGCTTACCTGCTGCTGTTCAGCACATTTTCTGTCACGTTGGTGGCAAACATGCCCTTATGGACATCCCGCTCTTGAATAAAAAGGACATAAGAAAGACGCCTTGCAAGCCAGCCTCGGTGCCTACAACGCAAAAACAACTTACCAGAAAAGTACTGCAGTAGCACCTGCAACAAGGTGCTCCAACAAGGCAGCAGCTTCTCCCATAAAAGTAAAGCCAATTCCCAGTAATTAGGGCTCTCATGAAGTGATTTTCCTGACTAGTTCAGGATGCTAAAAGACCAATTTTACTTAGTTTTTTTTCATTCGCTCTCAAGTAAAACTGAAACTCAAAATTTGTATATTAATACTCAAATAGTCTTATTTTGCTGAATAGTAACCCTAATATAAAAACAAAAATAAAAATCTGAATTTATTAATACCACTATAAAGGCAAATATTTTCAATGCTATATATGTATAGATATAACAGATAAATAATGTAACTTACAGTTAGATCTATGGGCTATCAAAAAGAGAAACTTGGAAGTCTCCTACAATGAAATTTATTATAGAATTTCCTCCAGGATAATCACTGACTCTCAAACTAAATTACATCTGATCAGACAAAAGAAGTCAAGCAGAGCTGCTCTATGATCTAAATGCCTGAACTCTGGGTTCAGGAAATCAGCAGTTCTTTTTTCTTAAAAACACACACTTAATATACATAAGGGTTAGAACAGTCTTGTCAGTAACAGTAACTATACAATGTTTAGATTGGGGAAATAAGAATATGGATTTCAGAATAAGAATGCTACAAGTCCACATTGTGTAATGATTTAAAATCATCTGTAATGATTACATAATGCTGCATTATCATCTTCCTCCATAGTGATATAGACAGTAAGAGATTTCAAATATAAATTCACTAACTTGGAAAAGATCCAAAGCTAATTTCATAGAGAACAGTTTATGGATCACTGTTCCTTCATCTCTTTCTTGACACATTTTTCCTTTCCTGTCTCAATATTCCTAAAATTTAGCCCAAACTAAATTTATTATAGATGTGGGACACGTCTATAATCCCAGTGATCAGGAGGCTGAGGTAGGAGGATCACTGTGTGTTCAAGGCCAGCCTGGGCTACACAGTGAGTTTAAGACCAGTCAAAACTACATACCAACAACAAACAAAAAAACCTACAAAAACACAAAAAAATTTTAAAATAAAACATTAAAAAATTAGTGGATTATGTTAAGTGTTCATTCTAAACTCTTCCACCAGTGAACATTTTCAGAATTCTTACTAGACTATACAAAGCCCAAGCTCTCTATGAAGTCTCTGCAACCGGCTAAAGGTGTGTGACTGCACATGAGTGAGAGAATCAGAGTAAGTGTATGTGAAATCATGTGTGAGTGAGTGTGCATGACTGAATGAGAATACAAGAACAAATGTGTGTGCATGAGTGTATATATGCACTCGTGTAAAAAACATTTATGCTCTGCTTCATATAACACATAAACTAAATAGCTACATAGGTAGCTTATTTCACCGAACACTTTCATATTACCACATCATTTTGGCCAATGGTATTTTTTTAACGGCTTCCAACTATGGGCAACAGGCAAAGCTGTGGCTTCATATATAAAAGGTCTGTTTACACAGTATGCAAAGAAGAAAATACTCTATTTTATGTGTGAGGATCTGTATCATATCCACTAAGATAAAGAAAAACAATACTTCAATGTAGGTGAGTTTCTCCTCCCTCTTAGGTTTAAAGGAGAGAGACACAGTGAAGAGTAGCCTGAGAGTACAGAACAAGATCTAAGTCTCTTGACTTCACTTTTAGTTCTATTAAAAAAAAAAAACAACCTATTTTTAATATAATAATGCAAATATTATCATTCTCATCTGTGATCTCATCATCTAACTTTTTAATACTAATTCTGAAGATCTCAAATCTAAGAATATGATTTCTTGGACCAATTTTTCATTGAATTTCAAGCACATCTGATCACTTGAACCTATTTCTTATCTACCTCAGGGATCTACTCTTAGAATTATAGGGACCAGTAGTATTTTGGGCTACTGTTTCTCTTGCCTCATGTATACTCAGAGAACCTCAGTATTCTTCCTTGTCCTGTAACCTGGATTCATATAAAACAAAGGCCCTATTCTCTGTCTCTGGCACCTACTAACTCATTCCCAAGTATCTGGAATTTGGAAGAGAAAAGTCTTAGATAAATAACAAATCAAAGAATATTTGTTCACTAGATGAAAATATTTCATAATACTCTGCATTTCAGGCAGATTTTAAACATTTATACTTAAGACATTCAAACCTACACCTCTCCTCTGACAAATATTTCACACACTTGAACACACACCATATGCAAAACTCAGTATACAAACGATTTAAATAACGCTGTAAGAGACATCTATACTCCCATGGATGTTTGTAAGTACAGCACTGGTTAGTAGTGATAAGTCTCTCTGTTAGTGGTTCTGCTTCTTATTTTTGGATAAAGCCTCTGAGTCAAAAGCTCATATTCTAGACATGCTCAAAAACACAGATTTATCTTAAAGTATGCTCATTAATATTATGAAGGTTTAGAGACTCAAGAGAAGAATGAGGAATTTCTTTTTACCTTGTGTGAGTTTCATTGATATAAATAACATTCCGCAAACCCAAAGATGGGATACTGGGGTTGAAAAATTTTTCCTAAATAAAACAAAATACATGTAGACATAAATACACAATTGGATGGGTGAAAGGCTCACATCAACAGTTCTTGACAACTTCTAAACTTCAAGCATAATATTAGGCACTGCTTCAAAAATCTAACTGATAAAGAAAAAATGTTTTATTGTGAAAAGCCCTCTTTAGCCTACAAAAGTCACAAACTCAAAACAAATTTTTAAAACCTTAACAGAAAAGGAAATAGTACCTCTTCCCTTCCTCATCCACTCCTCACCTCCATTCCAAAAGAGGAAGTCATTTAAGGAAAGTTAAAATACAAAACATTCTGAAAGTACCACGCAGTTATTGTTAAATTACTAACTCTCCTGAGACACATAAGAATTATTAGCTCCATTTATAGGTGAGGAAATTGAGGCTGATAGGGATTTAGGATTCAATCTATTAGTCCAAAGAGTATTGCCTTTTTATTCCCCTAAAATGACTCTCTACTTAATGAGTAAATATACATCGACAGGTCACTGTCTTTACAAGTGATCATAAACGATAATCTAGAGATAGCTCTGTTGAAAAGAGAAACTCTATAGCTTTACAATGTGAACAAAAAGGTTAATGTTTCTCAGATAAATGCTTTTAAAAAAAGAATAACATATCCTCAACAAAAGACGCAAATTACATGTCATCTCTTTAGAGAAAAAGAAACTAGCATTTCAAAGGAAAGCAAATAGCAATTCTAAAAACATATGTTTAAACAAATAATTAATGAAGTTATCTGCTACACTATTCTCTATTTGTACTCCAAACTATAACTACTACCAAATAATTTCTTATACTCCCTTCTAATTTAAGAATATACTGTAACATTATACATAAGGTCATATATCAGTCTAATATTACAGCTAAGGCATTGTTTTGAATAAACATTCAAAATTAGAATTGAATGAGATGCCAAATTTAAAAGAAAAGCCATATAATCTCTATTTAAGTCTTTATTTCCACTGTCCTCTGAATCTGACTTGATCTTACTGCTAGACTAAATATTCTCAGGATCTTTGGATCAGTTCTTGCAACGAGGCACTTATGATTTAAAAGAAGCAATATGGTAGTAGACTTGAACTTTTAAGGTGAACTGTCTGGCTCTATACAAATCTCCCAGTGTTAGTAAATCCCTTAATACCACTCAGAACTCTGCTTCCTGCCAAGTCAACCCCGAGTAGAAAATCCACACAGCATAGCTGCTATTAACACAGGTCATAAGCAACCTCTAAAATAGTTGGCATTTAAATGGCAGAATTTCTACATCCTAATAACTGGACCATCCCAGGGAGAACTCCACATCCCAATATTTTTGTTTTGTTTTGTTTTGGTTTGGTTTCTTTACAGAACTGGTGATTGAACTCAGGGCCTTTACAATGAACTACAGCCCCAATCCTCTTTGGTTTTTTATTTTGGTATCGGGTCTTGTGAAGTCACTAAATTGCTTACCCTGGACTCAAACTTACGATCCTCCTGCTTCAGCCCCCCAGAGTGCTGGGATGACCTGTGTGTGTCACCATGCCCAGCCAGATACACCTCTTAAATGGTAACTCTAATCACTTAGAACACAGCTACATGAAGCTCTGCACTTCCATGCTAACTTGCTCCTCTCACCAACTGCCACTAGAAGGACACTTGTCACCCACTCCATTCTTTTCAAACATGATATGGATACACAGCTTGTGCTTTTTCACCAAAATACAAACAACAGACATAAATACAATGATGCTTCGGTTCACGAACTTTACTGGCTCCACAATTCTGGAGAAGATGCCTATGGTTGTGTTCATCACCCAACATGGAATTCACCAACAGAAGCAAAACTTTGCCGAACACTTCTGTTCACAAACTGAACTGATCACGAACAGAAGCATTCTTGAACCGAGCTATTATCGTATACTCTTCCTCAAATATTCATCCTAACATGTTAGTGACCATGTTTCACTACCATGAAATCTACAGACATCCTCCAGGAACGTAGCCAAAGCCATGACCAAAGCCACACCTTTACCTTTTTATTCTGCCCTACTATCTCTCTCATTTTGCTAGGAGTTAATGTTACATGCTTGAAGGTCAGCACCTAGAAAGTACAGCAAGGTTCCTACCAGTTCTCAGCAAAGGTTAATTCAAAGTAAGTTCTAGTCTTCCCTTCGAATCATAGTAAGACTTTAAAAGAACCAGAACACTGCCAGGATAGATTATGGGACCAATATTTATCGAATAAATGAATGGAAAGAAAAGTGAACGTCTCTAATTGAAATATCTGGTTTATAAACGAAAGCCTCAGTTCTAAAAATGAATTGTTTATTAAGATCAAACAATAAAAATTCACACACAGTTGGAAACCCAGGCCACATATGTCCCTCTGTCTATTAAAGGTCAGCAAGCAGGCACATCCTTACCCAGCTCTGGGGAGTGCAAGAGTAACAACACCTTCCGACAAACGGTCTCTTCCGGCTCATAAGGCTTTCTTTCCATTTTAGGGTTGCGGATCGGAAGAAGGTAGGTCTAAAGCCACACTCCACCTAATAAACACGCAAGAAAAAAAACAGTCTGTAAGTGGCAAGAGAATTACAATTGTCCACTTGATCTCTAAAATTATGACATTTCATATAGAAGAGAAAATTACAGCCTGCTTTTGGCAATACAATGACGTGTCACATTGTGATTTTCACTTAAGGTATTCCCTTCTACAATCAACACTTAGAAAAAAGCTTAATACATAATCAAAAGCTGATTACCTAAGAATAGTATAATCGGTAATGATCACTTCACACTTGATGCTGCATTGAAAGGTTTTAAACTAAGCTGAGGTGTTCAATCATGGATGAATGAATAAAGATATGCTATGTATACACAATGAAATATTATTTAGCCCTAAAAAAGAATGAAATCCTTACAGCAACATGGTTGAGACAAGATATTATGACAAGTACAATAAGCTAGGCACAAAAGTGGAAGTTTTCATATAAGGAAGCTGAAAAAGCTAATCTCAAGCCAGGCATGGTGGTTTATGCCTGCAATCCCAGCATTCTAGAAGGATGTCAAGGGGATTACAAGTTCAAGCCCTGGGCAACTTAGCAATTTAGTGAGACCCTGTTTCAAAATTTTAAAAAAGAGTTGAAAATTTAGTTCAGTACAAAGGCTCTGGGATCCATCCCTAGTAACAGAAAAAGAAAAAACCTGATCTCACTCCTAGAAGTACAGTAGAACAGTGATTCAGGTAGGGAAGATTGCAGGGTCAGTAAAGAAAGGCTATTTGACAGGTAAAAAATTATAAGACAGGGGGATTAAGTTCTAGTGTTCTGTTCCACAGGAGGGTGACTATAGTTAACAGTTACGGCCTACTCCAATATAGATAGAAGGGAGGATTTGTAACATTTCCAACAAAAAGAAATGATAAAGGGGGCGGATTTAGCTCAGCGGCAAAGCATCTGCCTGGCAAGCGCAAGGTCGTGAGTTCGGTTCCCGGTACCGGAGAAAAACCAAAAAAAAAAAAAAGAAATGATAAATGTTTGAGTTAACAGACATGCTAATTACCTGAAATGATCATTGCACATTGTATACATGAGTTGAAATAAACAATGTATCCCACAAATATGTATAACTACTAGGCCAATTAAAACCAAAAATAAACATAACTGACATCTCTAACAAAAATAAAATTTTCACTTAAAAAAAAAAGTTGTAGAGAGCAAAGAGGACTTCTGATGGAGCAGAATTATTAAAGCAGACTCCTACATCCATCCACATGCTTACAGTTAACCTTATATTCTTTCAGGTCACACACTCCCACAATGGAATTCTAGAGGCCTTACACAGTGAGTAGGCTGCTCTACTACAGCTTGAAATATCTCATTCTAAAGGTAAACTTCATATTCCTTTGCCTGATCAAGAGAGTTTAAAGGCTAGAATTTATATAGATATACCACTCAGTGAGGGTCAAACCCTCTTGTTCTAATTATTTTCTTTTAATTTGGAGCTCATTAATTTCTCAAATCTCATTGATAAAACATTCTTTTAAAATATTTATATAAAGCAGATAATGTCTGAGATAATATTTTAAACATGTCAAATCATGTTGAAATAAGTAAAGCAGTACAAAAAATGTACGATTTTTAGATTAGATGGAATGAAAATTTCCAGTTTTTTAAAATATTCATTATTGAATTAATGCTTACTAAATGTAACTTATAGAAAACATATGCTAAAAGAAAGGAAAAAAAAAATCTCTTTATAATTATACTACCCAAAACAAGTACTAGGGTGTTTTGCCCTAGGCAAAAGTGTTCTGCTTTTTAAGCTAATCACTTTACTTAAATTTTTTACCCAATTTTTTCTTCCTGTTAACATACTATTCAAAATATTAAGTATTATTAGACTTCATAAACATAAGTTCTAACAGGTAGAGGCAGCTTCTACAGCTGCTAACCTCTATTTGATATCACTATATATTGCTACCAACATTTCTACCTTCATAAACAATATTAAAATGAACATTTTTAGGGTGAATGCTTTGAATTTTTCTTTTCAACTTACCCATTCCTCATTTGTGTGTTTACATCGACCAAGACTGTATTCTGATGAATTCGGCAGATAAGAAACATCTATTGTACTAACCGTCAATCCAGATTCATCCATGTCACAAAATGTAACTCCCAAATCATGTGCTACAAAAAAATTCCATCTAAGTTAATGAAGAATCCAGAGACCGGGACTCAAAGTTCTGATTTCTACATTATTTTGTTTCCTAGTGGGATACCAAAGGAACTGGTGGACTTCTATTAAAAATAGCCCTTGAGGTGTTCATATGCGCTCAGGCCAGCCTGATTATATAAGGATATTGTGTCTTTAGACTTCCTGAACAAAACAGCTATGAGCATTTATTTGCAAGTGTAAATAAGAGCTTATTTCAGGTGTTAAACAATTATTTCATTTTGTCTAAAAAATGAGTAGTTTCTGGGAAAATAAAAGCATAAGTTTATTTAATTAAACACATGTTACATGTGTGCACCCAAGAATTTTTTAAAATTATGAACTGAGATTTTCACTCATACATATTTGTACGATGTAAAATAGACAAAAACCAATGACAGCATCTTGTTTTCTATTTAAACTGAACTGAGTTTTCTTAATATTCTTGTGATTCCCTAAAAGAAATGACACTTGCACTTTTAACACGACTACAAAGCTCTAAAAGAAAAATACCATTGGGGAATGTCTGATTTGTAAGTTTCATCCTTTTCAATAAGCTTTTTCTCCTACCCTACAGGAAAATGTTCATGGAGAATAAACACCTAAAACTGACATGTATGAATGTAAAATATAGAAACTTTCTAACACCAGTCTCATTTTTTTAGCTTTTCGCTACTTCCCTCCTGACCTTAAAATCCTGAATGATCCCTCCCAAGCAATAATATTCCTTGAAAGATATATTCCGATTTCTTTACATTTCCTTTATGGAAATGCCGCAGTAACTGTTCTCCTAAAATAATATTTGTCTTTAACAATTTACATAAGTAACAATCATACCCATTAGCTCAAGGGAAGAGAACAGTAAAGCAATGCACCTGGGATAAGAGTTCTTCGTTCTACAAAATAAAAATTCGGCGCTCAGTTATCAGCTTCCGGTGCAGGATGTCCACACAACAGGAGGAGCACGCTGCTGCCTGAAAAAAAAGAAGTGAGATGAGGAGACGAAGAAAAAAAGATATGCCAATAGGAACCCCACGCTTTGCTCCTCCTCCCTTTCAAGGTCAAGGATTTAAAAAAACAAAATTAAAAAAAGAAAACTTCCAGAGGTGCCAGGCAGCTGGGCGGACAGAAGCAGACAGTGGAAGCTGAAGTGGACAGAGGCAAAAGGGCCAGTTCCGAGGATTAAACCCCTCTATGCACACCATCTGTGTGAATCTGAACAGGCGGTCAACTTCTACGCCCCGATTTCCCCTCTTGGAAAATGGGTATAACACCATAGACTTTATCTGGAGTGCCAGAAGCACTGAATGACACACACACAGCTGCCAGCACAGCGGCACGCAGTGAGCGATCAGTCTGATCAGGGGCTGCTGTCAGAGGATCACCCAGCTCCAGCTGCTCTCAGCACCCCTGTGCTCAGTACCTCCAAGGGATGGGGCAGGCTATCAGCACCCCCTTCGGAAGGTCCTTGGGTACTGGGTCCACAAAGATCCCCTCCTCCTCTGCGCCGCAGCCCGGTCTCCACGGGAAAAGAACCACGTGGACCCCCACCTTTGCACGAGCCTGGCCCATTTCCTCGGAGGAACCTCGGAGCTCGGGAGAGGGCAACTCGGACCGCCCTGCAAACTTTGAGGCGCTGCGCCCGGGCCGATGAAGAGCAAGGAAGAAGAGCGATCACGCACCTGTCCCCCGTGCTCCCGGCCCAAGCAGCCTCCCGCAGCCCGCACCCGCCCTGGCGGCTCCACCGACAGTTCGGGCTCCAGCGCTCAGGCTCCTGCGACTGCAGCTGCCCTCACTTCAAGTCCCGGCCAGTGCCTGCTGCAGCGTCGCGCTCTGATGACGTGTAAGGTGCGCGCGATGAGGGGCGGGGCCGAGCGTGGAGGTGGCCTCGTGGCTGTGTGGTCCTGCGTGGACCCGAGTGTAGAATATGTCCGCGCGGGAGGGGTGTGTGGCTGAGATCGGGCTGTGAGTGCCTGAACAACTGGCTACCCTTCTAGTCTTGTGCCTGGGTGACTGTGCAGCTAAATTTCATTAGGGGAGCCCAGCTGATCTGTGAGCTCCTGTCAGCTCCAGGCGGGGGCGGGAGTGTTAATATGCATACGTGTGACCTGAGCTTTTGTGACATTTGTAACACAGAAATTATTTGTAACAACAGAACGTATTAAGGATGGGGGAGGCATTGGTCGCAGAAGGCTACATTGTATATTTTCTGTAAGAGTAGCTGAGCCCCGGAGGAAGAAAACGAGGTATGAAAAAATAAGGCTTGAGAGATAGAAAGCTTCCGTTAGACAGGACTTTTTCTTTCCTTTGAGCTGTATGGTGCAGCATGGTGAATATTGTTAATAACAGGGATTTTGAATTTTACATTTCAAATATTCTCACCAAAAAAATGGTGTTTTAGGTGATAGTATGTTAATTAGCTTGATTTAATTACTTATATTTGTAAATCATAATATTGTACACAACTAAGTTAGGTATGAATATTATAGACAGTCAGATAGGGCTAGGCCCTGAAGAGTCAGTACAAAAGATGAAAATTCATTTCAACTGTAGCTGGAGGCGCTTCTATCGGAGGCCAGGCCTCAAGATGAATACAAAATGATCAGGCCAACATGCCTCACCAAGGGATAAATAATAAACTAAAGATTACATTATAATCAATATCACCTGGTCCAATAAAGTCTAGATAGACATCTCTCACCCAGGTGAGTACCAGAATCTCCTGATCCATCCCTTCCTAAAACAGTCTTTGTTCTTTTCGTGTATACTTGCTACATGGCCTGCTTCCCCACTGGATCAACATCACCTAAGCGGCTGTACTTGTACCTCATTGGTTGATCATAATTCTGACTCATGTCATACCCACCTCATGATTTTGTCCCCACCTTGTGATTTTGCACTACAAAACTTCCTCTGTAAAGGGGGGTGCAAGGTGGGGTGCACTTTCAGGTCCCCTTCTGTCTCTCAGCAGCTATCTCTCAGTAAATTTTTCCTATTCTTAATTTTTGTTGTTCCTTAGAATTCATTACTCAGTTCTGGAGAACACAAACATCTAATAGGTTGGGAGTTACATGTATTTCTCCTATATAATTATTATCATTTTGTACTTCATAAATATAACTATGATTTATCAATTTACAATTTAAAATAATGTTTTAAAAAGCTGAAGTCTGAGTGGAATTTACTGTACGTTAGCCATTTAAGCAAAACGGCGCTGGGCAGGAAGAGGCTCTTTCACAATATTTGCATGCCTTTGACAAGGCCAGTGATTACAGAGAGCATTAGCAATGTAGAAGGAAAACAATGACCTCTTGAACGTACTTGAGCAACAAACATTAAGTATAAACTAGGACCTGGAAATACGAGGATGATTAAGACTGGCCTCCAGCATATGCCACCAGTCTGTCTTTGTCCCCCTGGCATACACTAGCCATAATTTCTGCTCAAAATAAATCACTGTGCACATCTATCTGGTTGAAAAACCATCTTCAACTCCCTAGTCCAGATGCCTGAGCTTGGCATGTAAGGCTGGCACATAGGGGCCTCTCCTTTTTCTACCTCTCCAGCAGGAGTCCTTACCTCTCTGACTGTCCCTAAGTCAGTCAAGGGCACTCATGCTCCTACCTGTGCTCATGCCATTCTTCCTAATTTATGCTTCCTAAACCAGTCTTCCTAGCCTTTGGTCTTCTCTCCAGCCCTCAACAGTTATACTCCCCTGAGAAATCTCACAGATTTACTACGATACCACACCTTGGGTCTTTATCAGTTCGTGTCTCACTTCTATAACATTATAAACTCATCACAGCCATAACTTGCCTCAGTCTTCTTATTAATACAACAATGTCTCGTTACAGTAAAGTTGCAATAAGTACTTGTTGAACCTGAGGAACAAGAAAAAGAACAAGATTTCCTTCTTGTGAACTTTCTACTGCTGTACGTAAATCAGTCCCCAAATGCAAATATTCTCTTCTAAAACTACTCAAAGCAGTAGGAGTAGATATTCATACTTTTAAAAAGATCTTGATTCTCGAGCTCAAGAGCCCAGTGTCTCTATTTAACCTTTCCTATACCTTAGCAACATGCTCACGTCTAAGTACTTGAGGATTACATGTTCACCAGATGAATTCTAATCCCAAAGGCTCATGAAATTTTGTAAGCAGATTACTGGTCCATGACGCAGAAGAAAGGAGGAGGGGCAGAGATAGACAAAAGCCTCAGGATTTGAATCACTACTAAAGAAAGTAAAAGGAAATGAACTAAAGAGAGAACCATGGGAATTTGTAAATATAAGCCAGAGAAAAACTGCCTTACTTAAAATTCATTTGTAGGCAATTCTTCTGTAACACCCAATTGCACAAGGGTGACTATACTTGTAAATGCAGATTCTATGCCAGGGGTTTCAGGTTACATAATGAAAATTGTTTTTAGAAGCAGGTGACACCCTCAGCAATTTACTTTATCAACAGAACAATAATTTACAGTCTAACCAGACAAGATGGAACAACAAAATCGAATTTACTGTCCAGTCCGAAACAATCAGAAACAAACAAGCAAATGTAAACCAATGGATTTCACACACTTGATGTGATAGGCGAAGGGAAACAAGTCGATTGCCCAGCTGTCTGGCTGCAGTGCAGAGCTGGGGACCTCAGAAGACCTAGGTAGACTCTGAGTTTAGGAAGTAGAGCTGGGAGACTGGAAAGGTCAGAGCTTTGAGCTAGAGTGAGTGCCAGAGAGAAGAAAACTACCCAGACAAAGAAAGGGCCAGGGAGAGCTGTAGATGAGCTCCCTCCAGGAGTCAGCTGATTAGCATAGACTTGTGAGGAAGACACCCAAGGCCAGGGAAGAACAACAGATAAGGAGAAATCACCAAAGCTTACACAGAGCATGGATTATTCTTTTTTTCCATGAGTCAGAGTGGAAAAATACTCAGTGACCAAACAGGCCCATAAATAGTCCTTGATCCTCGCTCTGAGGCTGAAAAACCTCACACAAAATCAGAAAATATCTAGTACCTGATAAGGTAAAATTCAAAATGGCACAGCAGTGAAGTTTTCAGGCTTGCAAAAAGCAGCAAAAAAGATGGTCCCTAGGGCCAGGTGTGGTGGAACAAGCCTGTAATTCCAGCACTCAGGAGGCTGAGGCAGGAGGATTGCTGTGAGTTTGAGGCCAGCCTGGGCTGTATAAGTGAATTCAAGGCCAGATTGAACTGCATAGTAGAAACCCTGTCTCAAAAAGACAGACAGACAGACAGAAAGAAAGAAAGAAAGAAAGAGGAATAAAAATCAATCAAGTGGAAGAGTCCTACAAAAGACAGAGATAATCAGTTAGTAGACAAAGAGATTTTGAAAGTAATATAACTGTAGTCACTATATTCAAGTAAAAGAGAAAGGAGATTGAACTTGGTAAGCAGAGACATGGAAAATCTTTTTAAAGAAAGATTCAAGGCAAACATCTCAAGATTATGAAATTATTGTCTGAGGTTTTTCACACCACACACATACATACTTATACGCTTGTATTAACAGTAGATTAGACATTACTAAAAAAGAAGAAGAAAGAATTTGAAAATATTTTGATAGAAACTATCCAAAATGAAATACTGAAAGAAGAAAAAGACTAAAAATTAAAATGAAGAAAATATACTCATTGAACTTAGTATGCATGCAACCCAGATAGAAACAGATAATTGAATAATGAATAAAAACTTCCCAAATGTGCTGAAAACTATAAGTTCACAAATGTAAGAAGCAACAATGTAAGTAGAAACAGAAAAAAAATGTATCTATGGATATCACCGTCAAATTTCCAGTAATGGAGAGAAAAATTGTAAAAGCAATTAGAATAGAAAGACAGTACTGTACAGAGAAGCAAAGATAAGAATAACAGCAGACTTCTCATCAGAAATACACAAACCAGAAAATGATACAGCTGCATCTTACAGTACTGGATAAAAAAGTGTCAATCTAGAATG